TTTCGCAAACTTCGACTGACCCGAGAGCTCCGTCGCATAAAAAATGCATGGTGGACGGAGGAGGAGAAGCAGATGGAATACTACGCCGAACGCCGCCAACACAAGGAATTCTTTGACTCCTTGAAGGCGGTGTATGGACCGAGGTTGGAGCCGCTGAGAAAGCTAATCGATGGTAGTTCGGGTGCTACCTGCACACAGACTGCAGACATAATTCAGATCTGCCGGAAACACTTCGTCTCTTGAACAACCGTTTAGAGATGCACTGGCTTACATTGAACGGCCTCAAGCAGCACGAGGTGAAGGCGAGTCTGGCGGACACGCCGACACAGGATGAGATGCAGAGAGCGCTTGCTCAGTTGCGAAACGGCAAGTGTGCCGGTGCCCACGGGATCCCGCCTGAAGTATTGAAACACGGCAGACCCGCGTTGGTGACTGAGCTGCACCATTTGGTGCAACTGGTGTGGCATGAGGAGGTATCTCCTGAGCTGAAAGATGCCCATGTGCTACCACTGTACGAGGGTAAAGGGAGCAAGCAATGTTGCACGAATTATCGTGGTATCAACTTGCTGAGTTGTGTGGGCAAGGTGATTGCCCGAATCCTGCTCAACCGCCTCGTCAGTCAGGTTGTGGAACCGAACGTGGCGGAAGAGCAGTGTGGATTCAGTTCGGGTCGCAACACCATCGATATGGTATTTGAGGCTCGTCAGTTGCAGGAGAAGTGCAGAGAACGACACCAGCTGTTGTACTCGCTTTTTGTTGATTTCACCAAAGCATTTGATACGGTGAACCGCAAGACATTGTGGCTGGCATTGGGTAAGTTTTGTTGTCCGAGTAAACTTGTAATTTTGCTTGAATGTCTGCACAGCGGTATGCGGGCGAGGGTGCAGCTGAGTGGAGAGACCTCGGATGACTTTGCAGTTGTCTCTGATGTGAAGAAAGGCTGTGTCAGCTCCTGCCCTGTTTTATATTTATCTTTATGCCATGATGTCTTGTGCTTTTGATGCGGCTTGTACTTACGGTGTTGGTGTGGAGCACCGTATTGATGGTGGGTTGCTGAACACCCGTCGTTTCGGTGCGAGTACTCTAGTCTGTGAGACAACTATCCGTATATTGCTGTTTGCTGACGACTATGCGTTGTTTGCGCCCAGCGCGGATGAGTTGCAGCAGATGACTGGTGCTCTGGCTTCGAAAGCGGCCAAATTCGGGCTCACCATCAACACAAGCAAAGCTGTCTGTCTCTTTCAGCCATCACTGGAGGTGCAATCTAAAATGGTGCCGCGAATCAGCATTGGTGCTGAAGTATTGGAAACCACCTCCCGCTTCTGCTACCTTGGGAGTGTGATGTCGACTGACCAGCAGCTACACAATGAGCTGCGTATCCGCTTTGAAGGTAGCGGCGGCATTCGGGAAGCTTGAGTACCGAGTGTGGAATAACCATCAGCTTACCGTCGGCACGAAGCTGATGGTGTACAAATCCATGGTGCTGTCCGTTCTTCTATACGGCAGTGAAACGTGGACGATGTACCGTCGGGATGTGCGATATCTCGAGCGGTTCCATCAACGGTGTTTGTGACGGGTTCTGCGCATCTGGATGGGGCGACAAACTTGCGGACACAGAAGTGTTACGTCGAAGTGGGATGTATGCAGTGGACTGCATACTTTTGCTTAGACACCTGAGGTGGCTCGGTCATGTGAGCCGTATGGATTCGACGGGGATACCGAAGCAGCTATTATATGGTCAGCTGAGTTTTGGGAAGCGGCACGTGGGGAAACCAAAATTACGTTACCAGGACATGATCAAAATGAGCCTCTCATGTTCTAATTTTGACTGCAAGTCATAGGAATCGGAAGCGGTTTATCGGTGTGTATGGCGCGATCTGGTCACGAAAGCCCTTGCCGAGTTGCAAGAAGAAGCCTTCGTGCATGCAGAAAAGAAGCGGCAATTGCGGAAGCGACAAGCATCGATGCGTTGTACTCCATCGACATCGAGCGCATGGTGCTGTAGCACATGCGGTCGCGAGTGCCTTAGTCAGGCAGGCCTAGTGAGCCATGAGCGAGGCCACTCGGGGCCAACACCGAAACGACGATGATTCCTGCTGAGAACGTAGGCAGAACCGGCGCAGCGTTTGTAAGTACGTTGCATTCGATTTACTAACCGCGTGCTTGCATGCTGAGTCTTTATTTCAGGTTGTGGGTTTACTATATTGTCCAAATGCTTTGTTATTTCATATTAATGTCTACTTGAACTCTCTTCTATAAACTTGCACACATTCCTTAAACTACTTTATTTAACTTCGATAACATTTTCGCGTCTGTGGCATTTTATTAATATATATTTTCTGACATCAAACTGCTCTCGGATTTGTTGTTAACCAATTTACTTTACATGCTCATTTAGTGAAGAGTTATGTCTGCATATCTGTATGCATTATTCGATTTATTTTATTTCATCTTGTCGTTTCAAGTGATTGGCTGTTGCTTGATATCCCCGGTGTGGCTGCGCTTGATGTGCATGTTGACAAGGTGCCTACCTGTCTGTTACCCACTACCTCGTCCATACTGGCTCCAGGAGACAGTTGGTCGTTGCTGGAGGGGACGGGGCTGTACGGTCCTTGTGGTCGTGCTAGGCTCGAAGAGTGATTCCATGCACTCAGTGTGGAGCGGACTACGGTCCAGCCACCGCCTTGTGTGCGCTTGATTTCCCAAATACAGCGTGCTCGTGTTTGCCTGTGAAGGAGTGTGGGCCGGCTCCGTTGATGAAATGTGGCTCCCATCCACATGCCTCCCGGTCTTATTCCTTCGGGTTTACACTGGATATGGGGTGTGTGGTTGGAGCTGTGTGTGGTACAGCACAATCCACCCATGTTCTCTCTGTAGTCGCAGGCGTCCTGTGACTGGCCACAGTGACAGACAAATCTAAAACCGGATGCCGCCAACCACATATAGATTCTGATTACACACAGTGTACCATTAGAACCATGGCAGAAATAGGAGTGCTAGAGAAAACGACTTTTTTGGGTTTTCCACACGCCATTTTGCTTCTTTTTAGTTTTTATTCCCGCTTAGTTAGTAACTGGTAGATGATGCTGATGTTAAGCGGGAATCTATCGCTGTAGTCGATGAAGAGATGCGCTAAATGAATGCCACGAAGGAGTTGTCATTGTATCTGAGACGCAAACGGCACTATGGCGAATCGGTGACCCGCGTCTCTGGCTCATCCGGTTGTTCGCGTTGTGAATCGTTTCGATACTATAGGATTACACCATCCTTGAACTATCGTATCGGAAAAGTGACATTCCCTGAATCGTACTATCGGCTTCCGTAGCTTTTGAGTAAAACCAATTCTCGGTTACGGACAAGCTACTACTTCGATTACCCAACCCTTGTCCTCCACCCCGACAGGTCGATGTGTTTCCGTTTCTCTTTTTCTATTACAGTACGCATCTGCTGCTTACCCGGTGAATTCCTGCCTCTTGTTATGCATCAAGCTGTTTGAAATCCCGTCACTAGGGTTCCCGTACAGCCCACAAATTCGATTTTTACCACGATCTATTGAAATGGTGGTCCCCGATCATTCCGCACACCGAGATTACATGTGAACCGCATAGCTTCCTCTTCCCGTCGGATTCTTCAAGTGGGGATAACTGGGCTGAGACTCGAACCCGGCATAGAGTGTTTGCTAGGAGACGCATCGGACTGCGTTAGCATAACTTATCACATCTGGCAGTTCATTACTTGGTTTTGGTCTATTGACATTGCCCTTCACAACTCACGTTTGATTGACCGTTGTACCAATCACTGCTCTGGTTGTGTGGGCATCAATCGGCAACACTTCTATTTCGATTCCTAGTTGGGTTGGCTCTTTCGACTCGAAACATCTAAATGGCACAGAATCTTGAGTGCTGTGTTTGGGAAGCGCGGAACTCGTCATTCGATATCGTGGAGTTCACTTAGTACTAATCTGCTGTTCATCTTACAAAGTATTTGCAAGCAGTCGGCTTGTCCGTTTATGGAACCCTAGCTTTTGATGCAAAAGGTAAGTAAATACACATACTTTTGTTTGAACGTTCTGTAGGAAACTAGAACGATATTGGCATAAGCTGAGGATCCATTTAGAGTTTATTTTACGTTTCGTGTTGTTTTTCGACAACGCGAGAAAGAGAGGGTAGTCCGTCTAGCCTGAGTGTCTGCACTGGGAGATCAAAGATCAATACTATCATAACGTGTTCTGTGACTTCGAATAACATCATGATTTCTCAGTGAAATGGCCCTATGCTTTAAACCATCCTCATCCTTTTTATTGTCTCTGCTTGAAATAATGAGGCTGCTTTGTTAAAAACAAACGGTGTTCACCGATTACGCTGGCCAGTCGTTGTCATACTCGTCTGAAAACTCATCTAGAGACTTTCTCGTCGGATTTTTTGAACCATTTCACTGTTTGTCTTCTGCTATTTTTGAACGAGTTTTTTCGCGCGAAGTAGCTTTTGAAGTCAATTTTCAGTCCGTTCACGGGTGGAACCAACAGAATACGCTTGAAACTCGTTTTGGGAGACATGTTCCCTTTGGAATAATGCATCCGAAGTATGTTGCATATCACAAATACTTCCCAGTCTTCACACATCTCCACGAAACTTCTACGCTCTGCGCACTACTTTCGCCGCACCTTTTATCTTCCCACGCTTATCATGTTATTTGGTTCACTTCCCTTTTCCACTTCCGTGCTTCGGGATTTCTCACTTGGATGACACATGATGATTTTTGCCTCTTTTCAATCGCTTATCTGACTGCTGACCGCACGCCTCCGCGTGCTCCGAGCGCCGCACCTCTCCCGCATCTCTTTCGTCAGAGCTGTTGCGTGACTTGTGCCAAGCATGACCATATCTTGAACCCATCTAAGCGCATACCTGTAAATCACTTTCTCAATCGCAACTGATATTACCCAAAAACTCCCTTTTTACTTATCTGTGCGAGTCTTAATCGTCTTAGTCTTCTCTTTTCAGCCTGTTGGGGCCTCTTGGGGTTTGCACCCGAACCATAACCCCAAAGGAACGTCTGTTCTCTCCACTTCTTCCGCTAACCTTGAACTTCTCGACCGAGTGGTTTTCTGCAGAGTAGGCCAAACTGTTCCGATCGGCTTGTTCGGTACCGTGATCGGTGTGACATCGGGTAAGATGCAGTTTCCACAGTTCAGCCTTTCCCTCTCTACTTTTGTTCCCGCTAGTCTTCATTCATTTTTGCATGTTACGGTTACTGATCCTTAGTTTGATAAAGTATCCGGGATCTCACTTTTTGCACCGATCCCGTTTTTTGTATGCCCACTACACCCGCGCTGATTGTTCTAACATATGATGTTCACGCTCGGTGCATTTTCCATCGGAGTGATGTCCTTCGACTTGACTCATCTGGAGTAAGCATGATCCTAGGTACTTTGACACATTGCACACAGTGCTCTCACTAGTTATCTCTCCTGTATTCCTTTGGTCGTCGTTGTCGAGTCTTAGTTCATCAAGGTATGTCCGTCGGCTGCTGAATTTGCACGGGTTGTGGTTGGGATTCGCTCCTACGGAGCGTCCGCGCTAATTTCATTGAAAACAAATACTATCAATAGGACACCTTCGTTCTGTTAAGTGGCTATGGTTCATCTCGGGGTAGCATGCGATCTGCCAGTTGTTTAATTTCCTTTGCGTCATCACTATTTACTTCTTTTGCTTCTATTTTCAATGCTGTTCATCAATCGCAACTTTACCGGCTTTCTCACCGGTCGTGGACTTCACGTTACTCATTCTCTGGTCATCGCTTGTAGAGGATCAAGGTCAGACCCTGGAGGTACTTTTTGACAAGGAATTTCCGGGCGCTATCGAGATTCGGTAAGTATTATTGGGTTGATGAACATGTTTTCATAATGGTTATACCGAGGGTCATCTCCACCCACTCCTGTGAACAGCTTGCGGCAAACACTGTCAAGTGGAGAGACCTTTGAATTGACTGTTGCCGCTCTCCCTTTAAAACGTCGTTTTTTACGCTATCTACTGCAAGCTTATCCATTTTGTATGAATATTTTGACGAATTCTTTGGCTGAACAATTTCAAGGTCACTGAGGTCGCTGCTCTCCACCGATTCTTTGAAAAAGTATCTGAAACACCGCGCATAACTGGCAGTTTACTGATTTTATCCAAATGAAACGAGCTATCAATAAACGTTTTTTTTTAAAGTTGGCCCCTCGCCAACTGGCTTATAATTGGTTCTATAAAGATGCGGGCTTGATTATTATAGTGACATCTGTCCACTCATTTCCCATTCTGTTTTTACACTTGTAAAATTCTCATATTTTTGTTGCTGTTTTATCACATTTGTGGTAGATAATGTAAACGCTGAAAATGCATCCATCTAGGTGCACAAAACTTTCCTTGACTTGACTTCAATCTGATCCTCCATTCCTTCCGAAAGAATTCCGAGCCAATTCAATCACCGGGACTGAATCCGAACTGGCCATATGTTACCCGATCGCCACATTGCATTTCACAACTGCTTATTTCATCCGCCATGGGATGTGTTGTGATTCGCTGCCTTAGGCTTACACTAATTGGTTGAAATTCGCTCAGCGCTGATTGATCTATTGGCTGACTTTTAAGATGATTTCCAAACGGGTTGCAAATCGTTTATCGGCCAGGATGGCAGAATCAGATCGCAGATGGATTATCGCGCCTGCCTTGAGGATGGAAAAGAAGCACTCAGAAAGGCGGCAATGGTGTTCAGTCTTAGATCCGATTTGTCTGACTTGACGATTAATGACTTACAGACTGAGAATGCCAGAGGCGCGATGCTGCAATAACTCGCGGCTTACGTACAGCAGGGATGGCCGAAAAACACAAAAATTTCCTGTGAGTTCGTTCCGTACTCTGCAACTCGAGAGGAACTTTCATTCGTAAATGGTATTTGTGACTGCATCGTCGCTGGTTAGCAAAATAATTGCGTGTGTCCATGAGAGTCATCCGAGTATTGTTCAAACCAAAAATTGAGTTCGACATTACTTTTGGTGGCCATGAATGGCACTAAGTATTGAAGCATTTGTAAGAAACAGGCGGATAGAAGCTCTTTGCCTGTTGAGGCCCTCTTACAACTGATACCTTACCCGATGAAGCCATGAGCTGAAATTGCCATTGATGTCGCGAGTCCCTTCGCCACTGTTCCAGTGAATAAGCTTAACCTGCTTGGTGCAACACCTTTATACAGCAGACTGCATGAGGTTCATATATGTGACCAAGTGACCTCTTCTGTGGTACTGCGCTGGCTCAAACATCTGTTCAGTCGTTTCGGATTACCAAAGGAAGTGGTCACATGTAATGGTCCACACTTCTGTGGTTTCGATTGCAAAACCTTCCTCCAACTACATTCCTGAACTGCACCCTGCAATCCCACGGCTGATGGTACGGTGAAGCGATTTAAACGGTTTCTCAAGGAGGCAACACAAGCTATCCAATTAGATGTGGTAGAGTGGGAAGAAACTGTTTTAACGGAAAAGCCTGCGGAGCTAACGCTGTGAAGATCTTTACGCACCATATCCTTCTCTATGGATCCCAAAGTCCCGTACCGCATGGCAGCTTACTAACAAGCATACGCTACATCCTCGATTCCACTGCGGCCGGATCCTTTGTTCATATTAAAAATCAAAGTGCTTTAAGGCTCACCCAACGCTATCCGCGCAGCTGAATCGCACACACATATGGATCTGGCACGACCGATTGGGAAATGGCTTGATTTCCCACGCTTGTCGGCTGACGGAGCAACTGGACCGGCCTCTCAGTGCAGCCTAGATATGCGTGATGGGGCGGGCTCTACCATCGCATGAACTACGCACGTCCAGACGGACGTCAAATTAGTTGATCGATACCAACCAGCATGAGGCCAATTTTCCCATGAGGTGTAGTGATCCCCTGCCTTGAACTTACGCTAATTAGTTGGACTTCGCCCGATGCTGATTGATCGATTGGCTGAATTTTGAAATCATTTCTGCCTCGTTCCGGTCAGTTGTATGTGCTACGTTTACCTCCTACGATATACGTGTGCTGCATTTTCTTTTTCTGATGCATCGGGATGCGATTCCTCTTTTAGTTTTGTCCATCTACACACACACCGCCTCTCTTCACTCCGTGTGTGACGCCTAACGTATTCCACTACTTGAAGTCATCTGTTTAGTTGCCAGTGCGTAGTAACACCTAACCTATTTCTTTAATGATTTCGATTTTTCGACCTAAGTTATTGAGGCACTCGTAAGCATCATCTTCCTACCACTATTTTTTCCGTTGCAACTATCGCACTCGCAGCTTTTTCACACGGTATAGCGGCATAGGTTTATTAAAAAACGGTACAAAGGTTACGGTTTGGATACAAAACTGTACATTTTGACACGCCGGCCACGCACGCACTGTCACTTTCATCAGATTTTCTGCTGACTTATCGCCCTCATTTATCGGTGGTTGATTTTCGATGAGACATTCGATCCGTGCATTCTATTGATCTATGCAAAGCATACCTCGCGCCTCCACGGTAACCCGGTTTCTTCACATTACTGCTTCCAATACAGTCCGGTACATTAGGCAGTTTGGCTTCGTCTCACATGTGGTGCTCACTTATACTTTGTTGCTGAGGCGCGGGTAGCACCCCACTGCATGGGATCAAACAAAGCGATTTCTCGTGTTCACATGTCTAACCTCAAATGCTTCTAGCTGTTTCAGTTATTACCTCACTAGCTACTGGGGAACTCAAAAGGGGATTTACAACAGCATCGGACTCGTTGTCAACGAGTTCAAGGAGCTTACCACGTCAGTCTGTCTCTGGTTAACGACTATTAATAGTCCTCCAACACCTCTGCATCCCACATAACAGATCGGTTCAAATCGTGACACTTACATTAGGCTAAGAGTCGACCTCTTTGCATTTACGCTTCTCAGTCTATATGGCTTGGATAGACCCGAGTATCCCATTGCTGCCGAGCCGCATGAGTTGATCGATGAGTTCAATTGACATCAACCGCTAGGCAACTCCTTTTTCACTGCTTTGCTATTCTAATGAACCCATAAACTTGAAATGATTTCAAACACTGATAGCCCTGGTTGGTTCAGCTGTTGATTGATTCGCCGGACTTGATTGCATGTCTGCATATGTTTCGCCACCACACAGGATGGCATCATCAGTGTGTTGTGCAATCTCGTTGATTGAATCATCTATTCGTGATCGACGGGAAGGTGACTTTTGAAAGTGACGACTTCGATTGGTGTCCCGTGATCTTTACCCACTACCCCCGTGACTGAAGCAGTCGCTCGAGCTGTTCGCTCAACGAGCCAATGAACCAGCAAACTGGTGATCATTTGCTTAACTTTGTATGTATTTGACGCATATTTTGATCCGGATACCTGTTTGCAATCTAATGTGATTCTGTACCGCGGACATCGTCTGTGATTGAGAGACGATGATGAAGATGTACGGAGGCAACGACGCATCAGGGAGGGTGCGCACGATGGTTCGGTCGACGCACATGAGCTGCTGCTTCTGATTGCCACCCCACAACAGCTAACACAATCTTTTCGCCATCTGGAGGGAACTGTTATGCCGTTCGATTCGCATGTGAGGCAATACTGAAATAAGCTCAACATTTATCACCCGTAGCCAACCTGTAGTAGGTCATTACTAGGAAACGCGCACAGTTGAAGTGGATAGTTTCCCACGTCTGTTCCAACTCTCCAGCCCCTAGGTTTATGGTGTTCAATAAAAATATAAATTTCTATTAAGCCATGGTTTACTGAAATGTTAGAAAATAGGTCGTAACCTGTTAGTTTTTTGAGCCAAAACTTCATGCTTTCTACTACTTACTACTTACCTTTGTAATTTTCGCAAAAGTTCCACTAAACGTAACAGCTGTTTCATAAGCAGCACGGTGATCACATCCTTGTCACAGCGGTTGCGGCGTTGTTGTGTACGTCTTGGGCCAGCAGCTTGATGTCGACAAGCTGCTACAGGTGGCTGATATTAACAGAACTCCTCAACATATTCGGAGCAGTATACATACCGCTTAGTTAGGCGAAGTGGTCGCTTGCTAATAGCCAACAATCTTTCAGTGTCACCCCGCGAGTCATTATTGAAAGCGTGGTACCAAAATAGCTTACACCCTCAACGAATTTCAATTCTAAAAAGACTATCACACTCGAGAAACCGAGTGGAACGAGATTCCGTTTTGCATACTCTTGTTGGTGTTGCCGAAATCTTTTAATTTGGCCTTTTTGTTTGAGATATCGTTTTACACTCTCTGCTGTAGATTCCTCGCCTTCTGTCTGATTACTTTATCATTTTTAACTTTGCGACTTGTAAGTTCGTCTATACCATCATACACTATTGTTATTACGGAATTGTTGCATAAGTGTACTCGAATCTTGCGTTGTCTTGAATACGGTCATAATTTTAAGTGTCGGAAAATGTGGTCATCCCCATGCTGTTTGTCGCATCGGTTCCTGACGTGTCCAGCAAGCATAGTTCTAACGGTTATCTCTAGCAGTGTACGATCACCTTGCTAAATTCGTTTATCCCGCTGCTCTTGTGCAACTAAGCGAATGTATGAATGCAGATAGTTATCGTACCAATCAGAGAAAGTTGGATGCATCTCGATTCAGAATATGGAGCCATTCTGCTGGGTGACTATTGCCCCGTTTCGTTCTATCTCCGTCACATGTCATTTCCTACGCTATCCAATTCGGGTGCACTTCGGTGGTCCAGTTGTCTGCATACCTAACAATCTCTGTAACCTATCACTTTATCGAACCTCGCGGATTTGCAATTGGTGCTCGTTTCAACTGCTAATGTTGTAGTCCGCTGTCGTTTGCTTTCTGGCTTGAATTTCCCCGGATAGAAATAATCCGTGCAGCTAGAACTCGAACCACTCGGTTTTGATTCATAACCCGACTACCATTACCTGGTGATCATTCTGTTTAATAATTGTCTTTTCATATGTTGTAGCTGCCTGTACGTTTGTTTTCATCTCGTCTGTATTATGTCTTCCGCAGCGGGTCGGGTCACTGCTGTGCTATCGTCTCTCCGTCTATGGTGATAAAGCTTCCTGCCAACCTGTCCGCCTCTGTACAAAATCACCAACCGAAACCAAAGTGCCCAGATTCCACTCATGGAAGTCAGCGTTCTTGTGGCATCTTCACTCGAAATGCTCAACAGCTTAACGGCCCTTCGTCAGTTGTGCTGAATCCAAAGCGTAGTGAGCAAAAGCGTCCTTCCATCGCTGAAGTCGACCTTAGGAATCATCCTGATGTACGTAGTTTCTAGTGTGTTTCCATTGGAACCGGCCCACTCCCGTTATTTATTCGTTGTGTACTGTGTGATATAAACGCCTTTATGCGGACCTTTCACCTCACCGTTTTTACTAGGGATCGCTTTCGGAATGCACGCCGTTAGGGAATTTCTCCCCACAAAAAGACATTACTGGTGTCGTTTTTTGGTGATTTCCTGGTTACATAAAGTCAACTTTTTCATTATCTTCGATCAAGAAAATAAATTTGCAGGTTTCATTAGAGGATGACTGAACTGTTACACTTCCTGAGGTTCTTCACGTCAGCCTATGCTAACACCCACCTTAACAGGCCGGAACATTTTTATGAGGATCGCTCATATTATCTAATCGTTTGGCATCAGGGTACGCTGTACTCATCATGTCTTTGTGTTATTGGATATGTCATATGCGTACACAGATACATATGTAAGTCAGCCCATACGAATGTCCACATATGTTCCTGGGCCTCGCATCCCAGGATTTCTCCACCTTACCCAACTTTTAGCTTTTTAACTTCCATGTAGTCACCATCCATGATTTTCAGAGCCAAAGAATGGCAAGCACATTACAGTTGTAATTTCAATTACCTTTGCAAGACATCACACGGGTTTTTGTTTTTGACCTGATGAGTTATGTTACTGGTTACCTCGTTCGAACGAGTGTGGCAGACATGCATTTGATGTTCTCTGCCGAGTGACATCCTGGCTTCGACCGCACTCGATGCGAAAGTCCACGAAGTGCCTGTTCGTCTGATGCAGTGACCTCGATTACGCAGGTTCCGCGAGGCTGCTTACCATTGTTTGGGGAGTCGAAATGTGCAGTCTTCATGACAGTCACGAACCCAAAGAGGGCTTCCAGCATACAATTAGGTGCGACCTAACCGCCGTTTGGCATGCATTTTTCCTCAGTTTCGCATCTCCATCACCCCGACATATTTTCAGACTGTGTACCTTTTCCTGATCAAAATTGTTTCCTCCATCCACACACGCCTCACACCCTCTAATTTGCTTAGAGCTTCTATGAATAAGGAGTGCATGCGTATAGGTCTTTTTAAGCTGGATAAATTTCATTCCACTTTATTTGGTTTGTTCTGCCTACCTGAATACGCTTCTATTAACTTGCACATGTGACTTTCGCTGATTGTGGTTGTCTTCCGGTCTTATCCCTTCGGGTCTACACTGGGTATGGGGTGTATGGATGTAGCTGTGTGTGGTGCTGCGCAAGCCATCCATGGTCCCTCTGTAGGCGCAGGCGTCCTGTGGCCGTCCACGTGGAGGCCACAGTGACAGACAAATCCATAACCGCATGCCGCCAATTATACATATATATATATATATATATATATATATATATATATATATATATATATATATATATATATATGGCACTGCGCCATGCTGAAGCTGTTGTTGCATTCATGATGCTTCTTCACCGTAGTTGGGCTAAACCAACTTACACTAGCCCTTTTTAAGCCGGGTAAATTGCATTCCACTTGATTTGCTTTGTTCTGCCTTCCTGAATAATCTTCTTTTAACTGACCACGTTGCTTGTGCTAATTGTGGTTATCTTCCTTAACTTTATTGCGTTTGTAGTCATTTTTTGTGTAACTTTTGGATATTTTGTACTTATCGCAGATTCGTTGTTAAACAACTCACTTCATATGCTAATTTAGCGAGGAGTTATGTTGACATGGCCGTATGCTTCAACGGATATATTTTATTTGCTAACGTTATTTCAAGTGATTGGCTGTTGTCTGACATCCCCGGTGTGGCTGCGCTTGATGTGCATGTTGACTAGGTGCCTACCTGCCTATTACCCACTACTTCGTCCATACTGGCTCTAGGAGACAGTTGCTCGTTGCTGGAGGGGACGGGGTGCACCGTCCTTGTGGTCGTGCTAAGCTCGAATAGGGTTTCCATGCATTCAGTGTGGAGCGGGCTACGGTTCAGGCACTGCTTTGTGTGCGAATGATTCCCCAAATACAGCGTGCTTGTGTTTGTCTGTGAAGAAGTGTGGGCTGGCTTCGTTGACGAAACGTGGCTCCCATCCGCATGTCTCCCGGTCTTATTCCTTCGGGTTTACACTGGGTATGGGGTGTGTGGATGGAGCTGTGGGTGGTGCAGCGCAAGCCATCCATGGTCTCTCGGTAGGCGCAGGCGTCCTATGGCTGGCCACAGTGACAGGCAAATCCGAAACCGGATGCCGCCAACCATGGTGTGGCTCAAGCCACTCACTGTCCTTTGTACTCGCAGAGGTTCTGAGCTCTCAACGGTCACAGTGCTAGGCACTTCTGGAAACTAATATCGTTATTCCTTTTCATCGCACCTCACTCGCGTAACTAGCCTACTGGCATTAGTTACAGTATGATCTTCTCAGGGAGCGAATTTTGTTCCACTCGGCACTAATTAATGCTCTCTTCTCATTGCAGTCCTCGCCGGAACAAATATATGAAGCTGAACTCGTAGGTAAGGCGTAGCACCGGGTTTCTCCGGTCTCCTTTTATCTCGGTGTTTTTTATCCATCTAACCAACTTATCCCAACGGACGCTTTTATTCGCAGCTAATTTTCTTGGGCTCCCCATTGACCGACATGGTTCTTAGATACCTTTGTTTTAATTTTAGTTGTTCCATATTGTGAATCACCATCAAGTATCTCATCCATGCAATCCGCTCAAAGTCGCTCCTCACCAGTCAGTCCTGCCAACTGTCTCTGTCACTTTACCCATTAAATATATGTGGGACGATATCAAGTGGCTTTCTAAATGGACTCCAAGTAAACATTTTATAGTGTTGCTCATCTCAACACTGGCACCCCAAGACCGCGGTTTCGTCCTGGTTGGGACTCAGCAGTTGGAGATAGTCTGAGTTGGGCTGGTTCTCAGAGCCTAGTGGATCATGGTTGATACCATTAGCACTATGCCACTGAGATCCGCGAGCAACGCTTGGTCCAGCGGAAACGAATTCAAAGGTGGACTTGGACTTCGTTTCCGCTGGGCCAAGAGTTGCTCGCGAATCTCAGTGGCATAGTGCTCATGGTATCAACCATGATCCACTAGGCTCTGAGTTCCAGCCCAACTCAGGCTATCTCCAACTGATGAGTCCCAACCAGGACGAAACCGCGGTCTTGGGGTGCCAGTGTTGGGATGAGCAACACTATAAAAATGTTTTCTTTACTTACGGTCTTTAAGATCGGAATGACCGAGGTCCACCTCAAGTGAACCGAGGTCTCAATAGAGGTTGCTTGTAGCAACCCAAACTCCAGCGGATTCTCCAAGTCCACCTTTGGACTCAAGTAACTCATCTAGGAGCGAATTCAAATGGTCACTAGGTGGGAATTGCGTCACCGACTTTTCGCTTTGACACAGTTGTCTCAATCATGAACCTCTACATCATGCACCCAATAGAGCAGTTTTTAATTATCCCCTATGGTGTTTATTGCACAAGTACATTTTACCATATTTATTGGTTATCGATCGCCATTGCCATCGACTGTGTTGTCAATCTCATCCGCTACTCTTCGCTTTGCTATTCGTCACTCTGTCGAGATCTGTTGTGAGAGCTGTTATCTTCAATGTTCTCCCATTTTACGCTTACAAACCTGTTCATTTCTTATTTTTATTACAACGCGATGAATTTAATTTCAATATATAGGAAAAATCCTGTATGGAATTTAATTTCGCTATCCTAGTCCGTGTAGTTGATGTACGTCAGCTCTACCGTTCTACTTTCATGACGCCATTGTGTTGTCACCCGATCTCGTCTCGATTCGTTTCTAAAGTCATCAGATCATTTCCATCGCTCGTGACATGCTACCTGGCTCTTCTCTGGCAAATATTACACTGTATTTGAACCCTGAACACCATCAGCTTGACTAACCATTTCCCATTTTCTCCTCTGTTAAACAAGAGTTGAATGCACTTCTCTTCCCATCCAAAGTGAAAGCTCAGTCCACTCCACAGCTTGAGTCAAATCAGTTTGAAGCTCAAAAAGCTGATTGTTCAAGTGCCCAGACAGCTTTATACAAGGATGGGTCTCTGAAGCATTCTCGTGAAGCGCTTTCTGAGGTTATGCCCAGCCCACCTGAGCTACCTTTGCCTCCAGTCTCCTGGTCTCATCAAACAGATATCAAGAACGAGAAAACGACCGGAGATTCGAAAGGCCAACCATTAAATCCAAGAAACGACTGCAGCAAGTTACCCTTAGATATGCAAAATAAACAGAAAAAAGCCGCTCTCCGATCCTCGGATAGTTCCAGCACCGTACTAAGCAACCACCTAGGGTACCAGCCCTCTTCGTCTACAACCACACATCCGCCCGCGTTTCGTGATGGTTTCAGAAAGCCGTGGGCACCGTCTCCATCAAATGTCGTGCCGCCTCGCCGACGACCCGGACGTGTTCGTCCTGTCGGTGCATGTGTCCCTGGACCGCAACCGTTCCCGGCTAATTTGCCATTCTCTCAGGGTCTTGTACGCTTTCCTTCTCCTCAGGATTCATATTTTTGTCCAATTCCATCGTGTTCAGACTTTACTCATCCCCCCTGCAACACATTCATTCCATACAACCGCCCCCAGTGTTCTTTCAATTGGGAACCGCTCCCTCCCTATAGTCCTCATGATTTGGCCTGCACAGCCAATATGCATACCTACGGCTGGCCTCATGGTCCACCCTTTCTCCGTCATCCCAATATGCGGCCGCAGTTTTCCCAATACAACTTACCCCCAGCACCTCTCCGAGGTTACAACCGCGATTTCTACGGCGAATTTTCTTCTGTCCACAGACAACCTTCCGTGTGAGTTGCTCATCGCAAAAGTGAACATTGTGTCATTTACGTTATGTTCCTTTCTTGGTTTCTTTTCAACCGTTTGGCTATCGGTCACTGCATCCCATGCCATCCTCCTACGTGATGCCTCTTGGTTTTGTCTCGAAACAACTTGCATCTACTAACTGAGTGGTTCATTTCTTACTTGATGGATAATTTGGTTGCGATTATCTCGTCACCAATCGATCAACGAGCAGATGTCCCTTGGAATTGGCCTCTGATTCGTGCGCCGCGACATTTACTCGTTTGCCTCGGAGACTGAAATTATCCCCCAATTTGTTCGTCGTGTGTTCAGTAATTCGGCCTTTAATCCATCTAAGATCCTTTTTTTCTGAATGGATAGCAAAGGTTACAAAACACTTACTGGAAAGGTCCATTTCAAAGGTCACCTGCTCGCCGATCACTCTCACAGTGAGATTACCGGCTGCGCACTGATAACATCACCATCTTCATTATACACGTTACCTATAGGTGGGAAACACCTCAGCTACTGTGCCACAATACATAGAAGAAAATAGGAGAAAAATATGCAACAGGCGCAAGCCAGCTGAGCTACCGGTAACGGATGGGCATCGTTCTGGCAAGCTACCAGCCGGGTACTGTGTCTCAAAAAAAAAATTATTACGCATAATTATATAAGGCTTAATAGTGAGATCGTGGTTGGAGAGGAGGCTGAGGGATGGGATGGGACAAAGAAACTCACAGCACGAACGCCACTCAGGTCGGCTTCTAACCATATCAGCAAGTGTATCCAGCCAAACGTGTTCATGGTCTTTCGGACCCCAACCATGGAGGCGAGACGCTCCAATCGAGGCCAGCTCCGAAGTGAAGGCCTTCATTTATCTCGACCAAGTCATCGCTTGGCCACCCCTCCTCTTCTTCCAGCAACACCCCCGGTACGCAAATAACGCCCATCGCGGGAATCGGTGGGCTGGCATGCGTAACATGTAACCGAGCCGTCGGAGCCTGGTGCGTGAAATAACGGTGCTCAGCTGTTCATTTCCTTTGCCGTAAACAAGGCGTCGAACAAGTTCGTTGCTCACGCGGTGTTCCCACGAGATGTGAGCTAAAGTACGAAGGCACCCGTGGTCGAACCTAACTAGCCTCTTTGTGTCCGTTGATCAAAGGGGTCAGGTTTCACAACCATACGGTAGGGTCGGAAGTGTTGCTGCATTGTACACACTACTCTTAAGGGCGAGAGTAATGTCGCGTCGGTGCCATAAGTGGCGAAGGTTAGCAAAAGCACTTCGAGCTTTTGCTATAGGGTTCGTGATCTCATCTTCAATCCCACAGGCGCTGATACAACTTCCTAGGTAGCTGAATTTTTGTACGACTTCTAGCTGATCCCCACCAAGGGTCAGCGAAGGAGGCGGTTTAGGCCAATCTTGGAGGAACGCTTTGCACTTCATGGGTGGGAAGCAAATCCGAAGCGACTGACAGCCAGTGCTGATTTGTCCAGTGCGACTTTGCACGTTTGTGAGCGGTCACAGATTAGGGAAATATCATCAGCATACTCTAAGTCAAGAAGTCATTCTCCTGGGAGCAGATCCACACCTTCTAAGTCGTGTCCTGTAAACGCGATTTCCATAACTTCATCAATAGCGAAGTTGAAGAGGAAAGATGACAGCGGGCATCCTTGTCTCACACCGCTGGAGATCTTGAAGGGTGGCGACAGCTTGCCGTAAGCCCTCACTCTGCCCGAGCTAGGCGCGTATGATGTTCGGATAATATTTACATATTTCTCAGGTACACCTTTTTTACTGATAACATCACCTCGATTGATGACGTAACGTTTGCAACCTGATTGTCCAGCTCTGTGAACCACCCAACAATTGAACAACCAACGCGGACCACCTGGATTTCAATTTATTTTGAACCGGGGACGTGTTTAATTGCGTTAGGTCTGGAAGTTTTATGAGCGCTATCTGACCGTCCACTTATTGTCGCTTCTAATTCGAAAGAGGCGTTAAACGACAGTGCTCTACCGCCTAATTAATCGTATATCATTGAGCCTCACTTTGCAAATCCACTTGCGTTTTCGTGCCTGCCGATTCGGCCCTGACTTTCTTTTCGTGCTTCCGGCGAATTCACCCACCATCTATCACCTTCCTTGGACATGCATCGATCTTGTTGAATCTATGTTACGACCATGTCCACCGGGTTAGTATCCAGACGCATTGGAAGCTATTATTTCCTAGGACATCTCGATTCATCCACCTTTTGACGATCTGAGGTTATCCATAACCAGTCCTGTACTGCCCTTACAAACTGTGTCCTAAATAGATATAATGCAAACTCATGTCACTTTAGCGGATGCATTTTCCCATCGTTTGTTTTGAAACATCATAATCCAAATCTTACTACATTGATCGTTGGTAATATGTTAGAGGGTTTATTTGAGCTTTTCTACACCAACTTCTATTTGTTTGAATGCTTTCTACTTTCTTGAACTCAGCCACACTCGTCCATATCCTTTTTATCCGGAAGCATCATTCGGTGGCCGTTTCCAGCCGCCGTCAGGCTATGGAGATCAGCCTAGACAACATTCCGTGCCTTCACAAGTGAGTGACCCCGTTAGCTCTTATCTCTCCGCACTGTCTTTTTCACACATTCTCTATTCTACTGTTGGAGTGAGATGTTGCTTAGGAGAAGGTTCATGGCTAGTCCTGCACGAATCGGAGCATCTTACTTTATCAAGCGTTGCGACTGTTTACTAGCCAATACGTTGGATTTACCTGGGATGATTTTTACCGACTTCCGGCAATCTGCGTGCGTACATTAACCTTAAACCTCTGAATCCTACCACTGAAAATAATACTACACCCTACAAACTCTAAGCGATATGTTGTCAATCCTTTCAAGAGTGAGGTTTCTTACGGTAGTCGATCTCCTCTCTGTTTTGGCACATCCTATGACACATAGGGCTATCTGATTAAGTTTGGTGCACCATTCGGGTCTTTCCAGTGATTGTGTTTGTTTTCCTGCTTAAAGATCTCTGGTGCGTGAAAAAGAAGAAAAGGAATACATCAGCAGTACGCGGGCACACTATCATCATCAGTATACATGTTAGCTGCAGGTGGAAAACACCTTAGCTATTGTGCCGCAATACAAAAGATCATGCACCGAGGCTTTGCTGCCACGCGGCCACTACCGGTAGCGCATGGGCTGAGTATACCACGAGGACGCCCGCCCCTACGCGGATTCGAACCGGTGACCTAAGGATTGCAAGCCAGGCGTGCAATCCTTTCGGCCACCGGCCGACATTTTAGATACATAATGCATGCGTTCGGCAGTTCGGATGACGTACTGTTGCTCAGCGCTACTCAACTAGAACTTGATCGTAACTGCTAAAACTCTTCCAACGCTGTGCTCAGCGCAGCCCCTAGTTGAAGTTTGAAATGGACAAACCGGAAGTGGTATTCCGTGGACCTGTTGACCTCCAAAGGCTTGAAGCTGGGTCCATAGAAGATAAAAACAGTAAAGCAAGTGTCATTTGAAAGCCATTGGCTTCCTGTCAAGCCTGGTCGGAATGTTGACGCCAATACGCAAACTGGGGCACAAAGCGTTGGGATACCCAACTAGATTTGGCCATCACGGAATTCGGATGAGACGGATGGAAAGATGGAAAACCACTGAACTATCAACTTCATTCACTAGATTCAGCCACGCATCGATATGCACAAATTGATACTGATACTGATTAGAAGCAGCGAGTAGAGCATACTCTGTGTAGCTGCATCAATTGTCGCTCTTGGACATTAACTTATTAATTATCGTTCCGCTCTTTATATTTTGCCTCTGCAAAGTGTTTGTCTAGAAGCTTCTTAAACTCTGCCACTGAACTCGCCTCTATTACCGGCTGCGGCAGGTTGTTCCAGGTATTCACCACTCTACGTTCGAAACAGAGTTGGTGAGCTACCCGCTTCAACTGCGGTACGATAAGTTTGTACCGGTGTCCTCGCGTGCTGCTTGGTGTGCGCAGATGAAGCAGTTGTCTCAACATGGGGTAATCACTCAGATGTACTATCCGGTGCGTCATGATTAGATCAACCCTCAGCCGACGATATGCTAGGGTGTACAGCCCTAGTTTCTTACATCGATCTTCATATGGCATACCTCGTAAGTTGGGTATCAGCCTAGTGGCTACAGTACATGCTGCACCCGCTCAAGCTTTTCTACCTCGCCCAGCGTGATGGGACAATATGCGGGAGAGCCGCAGAAGAAACACCTGCACCGATCGTATGCTGTTGGTCGTTTCAGCAACCATACTTTCGGATGGAAGACAGTTATGTTTACTGGTCACATACACCTGATCTCGGTTATTAAACGACCACTTCGTGTTGCACCGTATCGCCTTCGGGGGATTCCTATTCGTTTTGGATGTTACTTTCAATCTTGATCAGACATGCATCGTAAATGCATTATCAAGTGCCAACCTTCGGGATACCGGTGGAATATAAGACTACCTAACCACTACCCACGCGACACGGCAATTCGTTGTCGACGAAGTATGCTTACAGCAGTTGCGACGATGCGCTCTGTGAAGTGTTGGAACGGACGAAAGTCAAAGGATGACCAAAAGAAAAAGAGAAATTACTCACGAGAATGTCATCATTTCTCAGGGTGTTACGCCTCATTGTGCTTGGGCTGATTCACAACGCCAATTTGAGAACTGACAATTGCATGTAGTAGTTAGAGTGATGGTTTCCTGGTTCGAAATAACCAACCAAATCGGAACTGTATGTCAGTCTCTTTGGTTTGTGTTGTAAAGCTGCTTTCGTACTGCTGTTATTCTGCGCCTGCGACACTATGACCGCCTGATTGCTCAGTCACGCGCCCAACCAACCGACGGGATACAGAAGGCCAAGGCTCGGTAAACAAGGAGTCTATTCTACACGATAGATCAATTCTATCTATTGGTGAACGGAACATACTATTTTTGGAAACGTTTGGCTCTCAGCCAATGTGAGTTAATTCCGTTCCACGGATTTTCCATATTTGGCAGAATGGTTCGCCTCCGTTGACTCGGGCTTGTATTTGCTGGCCAATCAGCTTGCACCCGATTCCCAAATTTGGCAAAACAGTCGAAGGTCGTTCCATGCCCGTGCTGGTGATCTTCTCATGCAGCAGACAGCTCACGTGCTCCGCGGTAGGCATGTGCGCAACGTCGTATCTGGACATTGGCTCCGCTTACCTTTTTAATAGTTTGCCGACAATGGAATGCTCGCTACACGTTGGAGCCGTTCGTACTATTAAATGTATCAGAATAGCCATGGTGAAATGTACCTTCATCTCTACACATTTGAAAGAATTAGCTTATCATAGGTAGTTATTTCAGGGCTTCTAGGATTTATGCTCTCTTCGCAAACAGCAATCACGCTGTAGTAGTGGGCAAGCAGAGTTGCTACTCTGCTCTTTACGAAATTCTAGCGTGGATTAGGGATAGCAAGCTGCAGTGTACCTGTGGGTTCTCTCTCAATCAGTTCTTTGGTTTCTATCACAGCGACGCCGACTGAAGAACGGAAGTGGCAGGTCGATGGAATGTGAACCAAAAGCGACGAGCTAAATCAAGACCTAATCATCATACTTTGGTATCAAAGAGGCTTTCCATCTACATAAACCGGAACGAGCTCCACCTAACTTATCGATGGTTGCAGAACGATAGTTTACCTACCCGCATCCAAAGTGGCGTTTCAGATGGAAACATCGTCACTTTCGCTTCTACATCACCTTATGGCAAAAATATGTCCACTCGAAGACGGTATTATGGACGCGGGTCAGTATGGTGACCCTTAAATAGGCGATAATGCGAGAGTCCAAGTAATGCCTAGCGTCGTGAGAAATTAACTTGTTTGAAGGGGGCACTAAGCCTCGGTATGGAGTGGTTTCTCTCAACCAAACCGTATCCATACGAGAGAACGTCTGTCCAACGAAGCAGCATCACGTGATGGGCCCGAGCAGTGAGTGATGGAAATCGCCGGAGGTCACAAAAGAACTACACTCAACAGCAGTGTGTGCGGTTAGTATTCTGGGTCACCCAATCGAAACCGAAACAAATTGTGGTGATGGTTGATAGGTTAGAGAAATCGCTCAAATACAAGGTCAGCAAAGACATGACTGATCAGAATGTGTCAGTATGTCGGTTGCGTGCTCGAGCTATTAAGTACGACTGCATCGTGTTGGACCATCGGCAAACGATTAATGCAGGCCTGCATCGACTGCACACTGTCCTTTTTTGGCATGGATAAATGCAATTTGCTCGCATGACAACATGAACCGAAGTGTGTCTTGCAGGCCCGTAGCCTTAAGGATCACAAGCCTGCCTTGTAATCCGAGGGCGCGGGTTCGTAGGCACCGGGGACTCTCGCAGTATCCTTAGCCCACGTGCGACTGCTGGTGGTTACACGGCGGCAAAGCGTTCGTACTGCGTACCGGCGTACTGCTGATGCATTTTCCTCTCTTGCCAATGAAATATATTTCGCAACAATACCGATGAAAAGGAAGAACCAACCATCTCTGCAAATCATTAACACAACCGACGGCTCGATTTGCGACTACTAGATTCTGATTACAGCTCGGCGCATATTCTCTCTCTGGGTGGTTATGCATCACGATGTCTGCTCCATTAAAACAAGACACCAAGTAGCCAGTAATTCTGCCTTGAGGCCGTCAGACATTCTTTGGTATCAGGTTGTCGTAGGACCGTAACTGACTGAATATCTATACCCTGTCGCTTCGGTGAAGATCCGATAGCGCTTGCTTAGCTCGCTGGACGCCTGATTATCCGACTGGATCGGTGGCCGCATTACAACGGCCACTATTCTCAAACTTGGGGCCGCTTAGTTACAGCTATCTAGTTTCAGTCAAACACTCTGTCACACGTCGCATCTTGTTTCAGTTTCATTGCACATGTGTCGTTCTCGGTTAGCAATGCATCCACTGGGTCAACTCCTGCTAATGTGTGCACAGTGACATTCACTCGCGAATCGGTTACCACCACTGCTAACCTTTGTTTTTTTCACCGGCGTTTCATGTATCTGGACTGAATAATCACCTGGTTATAGTCTAACTCAAAGTGTCCCGTTCTTCGCAACTTCCGTCCAGAGTAACGCATGCGCAGTTAAATTTTCCTTAGTGACTGAATTTGATCCGGTGCTCTCCGTCAAGTTTCTTTGGAATTGAGGCGGACAAATGTTTTTGTCATAGTCTGCACTGCTCTGATTGCGTTTTGGCGAACTTTTTATCTGTGTAATGTTTTCAAACAGTGTCTTCAACTCGGCCGTATTACGGACAATTTGACTACCAATCGTTTTTTTTGTCTTTCAGGTGCTGAGGCATCGCAGACCATGACACTCGCGCTATTTTCTACAGGCGTCTGACCAACCTCTCATAGTTCTTTTACATTAAGGTTGTTCTACTGTGAAGTCTCCCCTTAATCCAAATTTTTAATCTTTTTTTTGAAATAGATCCATTTTGTGAATACAGGCTCTCCCCAGTTTGGTTAGGTTACCCTGTGTTTCCTGTTCTTGTGCAACAGCCTTTAAACTTTCTGTGTAATCCCACATCTTTTTACCACTAGAACACCTTTTTCATCACTGTGAGACTAGTGCTTCTTCGCACTGCTCTTCCAGATTCGCCTATTAAGTCTCTAGATAAAGTATCGGTTTTACCAGTATCTTTGTTCTTATATTGCATGCCAGCTTTACTGAAGTGTCTCTATTGCACACCATCTTGCGATTATAGCGGCACTGATCCCACGAAGCCCAGACTTTTATAGTCCGCGTGAGATGAACCTTGTTCTCATCTCTAGCCTTTCTGCTTCGTCCCACAATGCTAGCTCAACCATGCACCACTCGTCGATGTAAAACTGTTACAGCTTTCGCACAATAGTCCCTTTGGTTGCCGTTCCTGAAATCCGTCTGTGCTCTAATTATCACAGTGCGGACCAACAGTTGTACCGTTCACATATTCTACATGGCTATCCTTGATTAAGTCACATCCTTCTCTTTGACTGGGAGTATCTCGATGTTCTGAAGGGGTTGCGCGCTCTACCCTCGCTGTCTCTGCTGCCAAATAGTGTTAAGCATAAAAGCGTCCCTGGCCAGTACACATCAGTTCCTCCACCGTGCTTCAAGCTGTGGTTTCTTTCGGTCATCCTAGCGGTCTCATCGTGCTATATTCACCTTACTGATACCTCGTTCCCATCCTCGTTATCCATCTGAGACATAGCTTCAGTCGACAATATGGTTGCCTGGTATTCTCATTCTAGGGTGCTGGAGAGTACTTGTGCCCGAAGCCGCATGATTTGCGTCCTGCGATGTGTCCACTAACTCGAGCAACCGGTGCCTTGCAGGTTGGTATAAACTTTAGAAGTTCATTTCTTTTTCGGACCTAGAATTTGCAGTGCACTGCATGCTACCGGTTTTGGCAAAATCTCACCGCATAGTTCTCCTATACTGAGCTCAAAGACTATTGCATCGCAGGTCACTCCTCCCCTCCACAGATCGATGCTGTTCCTGTGTATTGAGGCAGAGCTTTTGATTAGCTTAAGTCAGTTTGCAAGAACCAGCCTTGTGCGTGCATCGCATGAAACAGTATTCCACTAGCACACAAGTCTATGTGGAGCGTATGTGGGGCTAACTGCTGTCCTCTGCATGGTTCGTGATTGGCATGGCAGTGAAAGATGAGCCGGCCTATATCATGGTATGTGTTATAGTGTCAAAGCAGGCTACTGATCATAGATGAACTTCTCTATAATTCCTCTTGCTCTACGGTTCGTTGATAAAGCCGCGGCTAATGACCACTCATGGTTATTTTTTGCACCCCGCTATCACGTTCTGTTGAAAACAGCATCTTGTCCTAGTAGTTTCATCGGAATCGGGTATTTACGGACTTCTTTATGTTACTTTATCCACCAGCAGGATACAACATACCAGCTTTCACTCGATACCTTGCCGATGTTTGTGTCATTCATTTGTGGTCATAGACGATTCCACCTCCTGAACTGTGGACTCCACGTGCATCGAATTTATTTGTGTATAACTTCTACCGGACCCTACCTCTTGATGGTGGTTGGTTTTGAACCGTATTTAGTACAGAAGGATTGTCAATGGTAGTTCCTATGGGATTACGTAGATTTCTCAATCGAGGTTGAGTGTGACAATTCAAGCGCAGAATGAGTACTTCAGAAACCTAACACTGAATTCCTAACCTTTATCACACGTTACCCTGGGAGAAATTACCTACCGCTGATCACAATGCCCTTTCCTTGATGGCACTGTCGAGAGCTATTACCGCATGATATTTGACTAACACAGCCTCGATGTCGATATCGTAGAAGTTCACTCAAATCAAATCACCTTCCGCATTTAGATTTCGTCTCGCGATACATGTTGCCGATATCCCAGGAACCCAAAACGAACCCTAAGAAGTTGATTTCCATACGGAGAAACGAGCTTGATGCCTAGCGACTGTTCGAAGTAACTCGACAATGCCTTTTTCTCGAAAATTCGGTTTATTGTTATACATTCACATCTGCTGTATAGTAAGGAGAACGTGCATTTTGAATCCCATGCTGTAGGTAGCATTCGCTGCACTTATACAACTCTGATGATTATTGAGCACATCTTTGTTTCTTGAGCAGATGGCGTCAGTACGTGGTCCCCCAGATGAAGGCCGGGGCAGTTCGTCTGTGGCATTAGTGGCCTCTGGCTTTGACGTTCATCAACAGGATCCTCTTCCGATTCTGTTGGGTTTTTAAGAAGGCGAAGATTGTTGACTATACCTGAGGATATAGTTTCGCTGAATACACCATTGTTCCGTTTATTCCATCCAGTGCCTTAATTCGCTTACCCACCAGCTTGCATTCTCCCACTGAATTGGTGTCTCGCAAGAATTAGCGCAAGTGAGGTCCTTTTTCATCCGACGGGTTTGCTTTATGTACTGCTTCCTCTACAAAGAAATTGCCTCGTGCAACTTAATGACTTTGGCCTAAGCAACAACCAGTCATCAGCGCCATCAGTGACAGTAATTCCCTGTTTGCACCATGCGCTTGCGCTGCAAACTTCGTAGATTTCTTCCTGTTGTTGGAATAGTGGTTCGGCAGGTTCAGCAGTTAAGTACTCACGACTGTAAAATTTCGCACTAGTACGGTACCTCCTTGGCTACGACACAAGAGTCGTTTCTAGCAGATCCGTGTTGACAGATAGTGCGTAGTACTAACTGAGCTTTTTCCGTATCGAGCAGACACGCAATGTCGCGGCTACAAACAGCTTGCGATTGGTGACCTTCACTGTCTACGAGTCGTCAGCCACAACCGTCTAGACCGCTATCCCTGTGTTTCTGGGGTGCGTCAGTCGGCTTACGTCACCAACTAATCGGGTAGGTCGACGGTTAGTCTTGAAACCCCTCGCGGGACCTTCGCTTATCACTCATGGCAATGAGTGGCGGACCGACGCAACTCTATTGAGTGCCATGTGGCTCACCTATGAGCCCCTTGTTTTCGCCGCTGGCACTGACTGAGCACATTCGGATCTATCTGGCGCTGTCGTGTGTGTTGCAACTATGCACATCGAGTGATTGTAATGGACCTGCCATCGCTTCTTGATTGGTTTGGCATCTCAGCAGTTTGATAGCTGCCGCTATCCCCCTCCCTGGTCTACACTTTTGCTTCAGCGCTATCTACATGTGATTCAGTGAATAGTACCGAGGGCAATAGACACCCAACTGTTTCGTCTCTTGTTTACCTTTGTGTTTGTCCAAGTGCGCTCTTTGTATTATTCAGGTAATGGCACGCCACTTTCCCGCCATTGCTTATAGTGAGCCAGCATCCTGAAGATCTTGGGTCTCTCCACTGCGCGCATAACTTTGTTTCCCAATTAAGCAGCGATTCAGTTTTACCGCCAAATCGAAGACACGGTTCCAAAAGGCACCGGTTCGGCATGAGTGCTGCTTGTAGTTGAGCACTTGTACAAAATCTCGTGCTAACTCAAACGAACTATTTGCAAAAAATGGAGCCAATATGGAATATTGCTGTGGTCTGTTATAAAAAATAGTCAGTGGAATTATTTGAATAAAGGGTGGCGCAAGTGAATTCAAAGTTCGGAATATTGCATGTTAACGAACCACTGAGCCCGTTAGGGTGGATATTTACAAGGAATCGCTGATTGTCAGTGGTCCACCGCCGCGGTGCTCTCCATGCTAATACAACCATCTTGCGGGTACCCATTGTGGCTGAACCAGGAGGTCATCTAAGGCTTGGGACAGTTGTTCGAAGTTGGTCTCAATGTTATCGCACAGGAGAATGAGATCCAGCAGGTATCGGTAGTTTCGCTCTATGTACTCGCTTTCTTCCAATGTTCTTCGAAAGTTTTCATCCTGAAATGAGGGGAGGGAAACGCGAAAACGCAACCATAAATCATCGAATAACTTAACCACTAGTGCGTGTCGTAGGGGAGCGCCTAGAAAAAGGGTCTTGAACAGCCCAAACCGAATTTTGGCCGTTGAACGCTCTCAGAAAGCGATGTGTCTACTTTGTGTCTGATGAAGACCGAAGTTCAATGGATAACCACCGTTTCGCGTATGCAGCTACCGTCGGTATATCAGTTCGCACTATTCGGGAGCACAACCTCGTCAGAACTGAGGGTTGTTTGGCGTTTACAAACCCGTTTTGTGTATCATGCAGTGGCGTCCAGATTGGTCGAATGCGGCTGATTATGACCTACTGTCGACACACTACAGCAGGTAGCTCTGTTTGAGTTGACATGTCACGCCACACAAACGGACGGACGGCTCATTCACCGTTATCATCAGCGATTCGAACGGATGATCCACTATCACGCTATCTAGGAGCAGAGGAATAATAGCAGTGGAACAATGAAAACCCATTGTAAAATCTAACTGCTTTGAGCAATCATTCAGGTTAAAGACGCTCACACATAGTCAACCACACTGAGCTAGTCATCGCATGTAGGTAAGGTGGCATCGGCAAGGCGGTTTCCTTGTCGTTTTCACTGTCTCACATAATAATCGGCCTTTACAGATAACTCAGCATCAGACACATTTTAAACGGGCAATTCGACTAAGATACGACAGCAAACATGCCACTGATGCCAACCGCTAGCCATATCCTGTAAACTCTAACGCCAATCACATGGTTAGCCGCCTGGACTCACTTTGGAAGGCGAGGCGAACCAACAGCGCCCCATTTGTGTATCATTAAGTTCATTTTCCGCTACCCGGTCGCCTGTAGCCTTCAAACATCGGCAAACCAAACAAGGCCCTCCTCAGTAGGCGGTGAGTAGATTTACGTAGCACACTCCTATGCCGACGCGATTCATTACATGCTAACCGTTGCCTTAAGGAATTAGCCTGATTATCGCCGTCTGGTATTCATCTGTGCACGCTGCTGCCATCAGATGCCAACAATGCCCAGCGCGCAGTATTTGTCAAAGACTTGAGGACACCTGAGATAGAAGCCCCGATGTCTCACTCCCGTAGAGTAGAACGGCTCTTTCACGGTCTTCCACACTAAACGATATTCTTGTAGCACAGATTCAGGGGGGCGATTCTGTATTTTTCAATACGTGAGAAAACTTCGATAAGCACGCGCCCATCGATGCTAATTCCGGTAGGCAGACTGAGCAGTTATCTCCACTTCCTGGTCCCCGTGCTCGATATTAACGAAACACGGGTCGGGTGTTCACTCGCTCGCAGGGGTCGCAAATGTGTCCTCACCAGATAAAGTGACATAATTGGTGCGTAGCGATGGGTAGTTAAGGGGCAATCAGGGGACAATGAGAAGAGTATACCAGAGGACAGGAACACTCCAGAGAACTTATGCAAGGTCAACTGTACTGTTTTGCGATTTCCGAACAGGAAGACGGTATCGTCCGCATAGCCCAGACCGATCATTTCTCTAGCAGGTAGCACTTCAATGTTCGAATCGTGAGATAACGTAGAGAAACACTATTTTTGATTTTGCGATAAAGTCGTATGAAATGGGGAATAGGACAACTCTGGTGAACTCCAATTGTCGTCTAAAAGGCGTCCGACCATGTGTTATAGGCCCTGACACAACTTGTGGTGTTCGAGTAAGAGGCATGTAAAATGTTCACGTAGTTAGTTGGAATGTCTTTCCCAGCAATTCGAATGGGACAAAACGATCGACTGAGTCGAAGGCTATGGTCAGCCTGAAGCACAAGGGACACTGCGCTTTCGCCTAGCACGGAATAAAAAGAATCTGTACATCTATATCCCGAACGGTAACCTATCTGCTTTTTGGTTATACGAGATTATCGTCCCGCAGCAAACCGACGGATGAGAATTGAGGTCAATAACCTTCCCACTACTGGAACTAGTCTGCTATCCTTATGGTCGATAGAACCGATGCGGCTACCCTTCCTGCAGATCACCACTATGATGAGACGGTATCTTCCATACCCGTCGGAAGTACCTCATCATCCTAAATATCGCAGGGCGAGAAAGTTCGAACCGGTAATACGAAAACCATTAGGTGCTGTGGTCACGTCTCGTACTTCAGCTCCTTATGACATCTCTAGACTAACCGGTCGTGTTTCAGCCTGCACCGGTTGGATACATAGCTGTCCAGAAGCAAGGGGCCAAATGAACTACCGCCAAAACGGACCAGTCGGCGTTCTTTACTGCGGACTAATGCGCTGTTGCTGTCCTCTATTATTTCGACACTTACCTTCCTGGGACCATTAGTGCGGGTCAGCTGAAAGAGTCTTCGAGAATCACCCGCCGCACTGTTTCCACCAAGCATCCTGTCAGTGCGCAGACTCCATTTTAGATGGCGCCTAATAGTAAGTTTTGTCAAATTATGCTCGATACCAGTGTCAAATGTGCACCAAAGGTCAAACTCTAGTCCGCTCAGGCTGGGGGACACCACACATATATGCATGTACGCGCATCCCCCTATCGGCTCTCGAGTGAAAAGTGGTCGAGAATGTCTTGTCAGTTGTTGATTACACTGTGTTCCGTTAACACGTGCTTTTCATACGCTAGGGTTGCGCGTCTTATAAATCATACGCCCTTGAACGTCTACTTACCGAGACTAAGACATATCAACCAGCAGGGAATTTCCCCCTAGATTACAACAGGTTCACCAGGATATCCCCTGTCTGATACGGTGACGGCCGGAGTCACACACAGAAGCTGCCTCATGGTGTGTGGCGATGAAGGTACTCTTCCACTAAACTTCGTGGGGTAGCTGGGGGAAATCTTCATATGCTTTTCTGGTCGAGGGATGAGATATCTTCACAGCTGTTATTCGGTGAAAACGTTTGACACGCTTGCCGGCAAAATTTTAATGAAAATCGCAAGTCGACCCATGTGTTCTAGAACGAACGGGACGCCAGTAGTTAACGATATCACAAGAAAATTGTGGCGACGTGGTCTAACTGAGTCCATCGCTGGCCAGCTGTCTGTGCCTAAAGACGATGCTGCTAGGAAACGGCCGATATTCGGTGCCCAATCGCAATGAGCGCCCATTATTTTCTTTGCATTCGGGGTTAAGCCCAAACGTCTCAACTTGCTGAGCTTCCTAAATGCAAAGACAACTTGCTTACCAATTCGTCCCGTGCAATTAGAACGCTATCTGAACCAGTGACATTGAGGCAGTGTGTCAAGTTCGTAGCGAAGGGCGTCCTTGGTAGCTTCAGGGCTGCAGTCGGTGAGGACACCGCTGTACACCACAAACATACAGCTTGCTAGCAGTACTCCGTTTGCTAATCTTGCTTGACGCTGTCAACCGGACTGCACACTGAGACTGTTCACATGAATCAACCAATGATAACTCATTTCTGATGTTGAGAACGCAGCCCGTCCCACCTTGACGCGCATTTTCTGCATCAGTGTCTTGGAATGCGTGTAACTTATAACGAGGAGACAAGTTGTGCGCAGTTCCATAACCCGTAATGATCATTGATCCTTGTTTCAGACACGCAGCACCCGGAGTGCCCAATGTGGGTACAAGTGCGGTTTGTTGTCTTAGAGAACGAATTCTGAACGCCGCCAGAGAAACAGTGTAGTCTAGTCTAGCAAGGAGCTGTTGATGGTATTGTCAGAAGATACCTGCGATGGCATAACTCCAATATTACTGCAGCTACCGCCAAGTAAGTTTGGAGTTATAGGAGGAAGGCTAGTGACGGGGATCTGTTGGGGTTTAGAGGAAGAACAGAAACATCAGTTACATTATGTCTTTGGTTATCCGTTCTGCTGTATACTTTTGCAACTTCACGACGGTAGACCTGATTTACTGTCAAGCATCCCTCGCGACATTATGCTCTTTGAGCGGTAGAAACAAGAAAACAATCATTCTCGTGACAGTAAGAATTGACAGCTTTCCTTTTTCAAGGTTTTCGATGAACTCGGATGATTTTCGCAGCACATCCATTGCAAAGTTTTTTGTTGTATAAACACTTTTATGCAGTATTTAGTGAGTACAGACTGCAAATTCTCCTGACCCTTGCAGCAACGTTTTTACGAGGCGGAGTTAGCACGCAACTTAGACGAAGTAGGAAAAATAAATATATTGCAAAAGGGGGAACGAACAAATGATATATTCCCAGATATGCGTCGAACACGACAACCAGGTGGTCTGTTTAATGGGTTGTCCTCCTTAGGTTGCTTCTTAGTGCACGTTGCGCCGAAGGGTTTAGCCATCACAGTTTCTTATAACTACGTCAAATTTGCGTAGCTTGCGTGCACAAAATTGATGGATGTACACGAGCTGCGCAAATCGATTAGGTTCAAGGAAGGCGAATATATTGTGAGTCGCAATTCTCCCTGATTGTTAGCGCCCATCTTGGAACGCATGTCCTAGACCGGTGTGTAATGGTGTGCGGTCGCATATAAGCAGACACTTATCAGTAACATCGGTGCTGTTGGCATCGAACATTTGTGAACGGCACTTGATCCTAAACCAGGTCTGCCTTATCGCACACATACACCACTGCTTGAGCACCACTTGTGTACAATCCCGAAAGCAATGTCATCCAGAAGCGCCAGAGTACATTGCCAGACAGTTCAGTCTTCGTGGTATCGCCCACTTCATCAATACAACTGACTCACGGGGCGGTTGGACATTTCCCAATGTGGTTCACGCCATCTCTGTGGCAACATGAGTGAGTGGACAAACTGATGAACAGGACTCGCGCCTCGTCCATCCACAAAACTCTAATGAAGACCCGGTGAATTCGTTCAAGTTGTTGCTACTTAACCGCAGTCGGAAACTGCTTGCCATCAGTGAGGCTTTGTAGCTAAAGACTATTCATTGGGTGTCCTACGCACACAAACTACTGATGCACTCGGTAAGACTACTCAGCTTTCGATTGCGCATTATCCATCACTCACCA